CTGTGGCCACTCTATTCAAGGTTTTGAATTATGTTGCCACCATATCAACCATCGATTATTTCATCCTCGATTTTAATCTACTACCATGCATTCAACATAGTCTAGGCCTTGCTTGATGTTGGGAAGTCACCCATATCAACTTTTAATTATTGAGTTTATTATTTTACAATTTAAATTATTTTAAATTGTAAAATATAAATTTTTAAATAAAAAATGAAATGATTTAAATTGTAAAATATATATATTTTTTGTTAATTATTTCATTCTTGACTTTAATTTTCTACCATGCATTCCACAAGTCGAAGCATTACTTGTAGGCAAGTCACCCACTTTCCATACAACGAAAACATCAAACTTTGTATTATGCAGAAAACTCAAGCATCTTGCAAAAATCTCTCAACTCTCATTCTATGCTGATTTAACATGCCCACCATGTGTCTTTTAAAAAACATGCTAGGAATCAAAAACTTGAGCCCATATTTTAAAGATTTTAAAGTTTAAATTTAATGATCGGTAAATGGGTATTTAAAATAAGAATTATTGCCTATTATATACTCATCACCACTAGGTGACATATTTGTTTGGCATCTATCTCTTCAACTTCTATCAATGTAAGTGGCACAAAAATGTCTGATCTAACAATAGCTTTTGTGAAAGTGCCATTTGAATATATCTTCTAGGGTATGGAGTTCATGTGCTTTGTGCTGATTCATAGAATGAGCTTTATCTTGCCTGATCTAGAAAACGACAATCACAGTGAACTACAGCTTCAAAATGGAATAAAGCAGGTCGTTTTTTTTTTTTTTTTTTTGGTACTACTAGAAACAGTAAACCATCATCAAAACATTACAAATCCTTCCACTGAAAAAACATTACTTAATCCAAAACCCAAAACCTCTTTCTCTATACTGTCGTTAATGCTTAATTAACATTAATTAAACCTAACCCTCTGGGGGAGGAGATATCAATCTCTATCAAATTCTCTTCTTCCCCATGGAAATCTAAATCTTTCTTTTCAAGAGCAATTTCTATTAATCCATCTTTGTCTTCCTCTTCCCACGTGAACCCCATCTTCTCTGGCGAACCCCAGTCCCATGACGCCAGAAAATCCGTCTCCGATGAACTGTCTGTGTCTGATTCCGAGTAGTACAATGACAACAACGGGTACCTGTCCGTATTCCAACACGAGTCATTCTTGTTTGCTTCATCTTCCTCCTCTCTTTCATTTTCTTCGTATATCACCTCCAGTGGAGCTCCCACGTCCCACTCAACGAACCTTTCTTTGAAGCTCGGATTCAGGTCAAAATCAAAACACAGTTTGATTTCTGACTCTGGCCCTCTTTTGCACTCGACCCATTTCGATTCTTCTTGTGGAAACTCTGTTTCTTCTGCTATACTAATTTTTTCTTTCCTTTCTGTCTGAGATTTCTGGATTGCACCCAATCGGAGAAGAAAAATCAAGAGAGTTCCAGTGATGATGAAAACTGGAGAGAGGAGGATTTTGAGGAGCAACCCATGAGGGACATAGAGAAGGACTAGAATGTAGAAAGTGACAATGGAAGAAAACAGAGGGTGTGAGATAATTCTGGACAAAATTATGTTCATGACTTGAACTGAATTTGATAACTCCAATGGTCAAGGATTCTCATTTTCTTCCATAAAGAAAAAGAAACACAAACACAAGATTTTAAGTCAAGAAAGTGGGAGGAGTAACATTAAAGCAGGGGCAGAGATGTGACTTTGCAGAGGGTAAAGAGAAGAAGCAGAGGTTTCAGAGAAACGTCTGTGGGGTTTTATAGGGCTTTTTTGCGCCTTTCCCTTTTTGGGGTGCATAAGAGGCAGGCATGATGATGAAATCTACAAGAGTAAAGTAATGGACTGCTGCAATTACCAAGATGACATTTTTTGTCCAGAAATGAACTCGACAAAAGATCAGCAAACCAATATCTTTTTTAGCATTCATGGATTAATCACTGTATTAAGCCGTAAAACAGAACTAGACCAGATTCAAATCCAATCTCTTTGATATCAGAGTGGGAGATCAAGAGCCATTTTTAATGCAAGTAAATTGCCACATTTGTCACCCTTTAAATTGAAGTTTCATTCTGTACCTGTAAACGGTAAACTGGATGGTTAACAAGGATATGTGAGATTTATTGGTTACAGTCCAAATATTCATGTTATTCGTTTTATGATAGGATCAATTTTTTTTTATAATTTGATCATTTTTAATTTGAACAAGACCTTGTATCCCTTTAACTAACTTTTACTACATAATATTATGCATAAAATGATAGTATAGCTGACTTAATATATTTAATTAACTCTTTCTATGTAAAGATTTATATATAATATTCTATGTATTTACTTTTTAATATCATATCATGTTATGGAATTAACACACAACTTTGAAAGGTTGGTTGTGCATTTAGCATTATCTTTATGTATTTGATCCATGCTTCATTTGTTACGCAATCCTTTTGAAACAGTTTTCCTAGAAAATCTTGTAGAATACTTAATCGTTGTATGGAAAATGAAGAAGAAACTAATTTTGATTAGTAATCCAGTGACGACGTGGGAATTTTGGACTCTTGTTGAGACAATATTAGTGGGAAATGCTGCATTTTCATCAATTTTGGTGGATTTATGTCTGCCTTTTTTCTTCTCACTTTATCTTTTGCTACGCAATCCATTGGTTTGTTAGTCATCTTTCTTTCCATTTCGCTGTGATAGGAATCCACCTTTTTTCTTCTGAAAAAGATATCATCTTGTAATGCTGGAAGAGAATAGAATACCTAACTTTTTTCCTTGAAATTTTCTTCGTTGGACATATAATGTGGGGCTAAAAGAACATTATAATTATCTGCAATTGTTTCTTGAATCCTTTGAACTTAAGTTTCGTGCGATTGGTATTACACACTGATAGAAAGAAGCAGAGGGAAAAGCTGTAATTAAGTTGGATAATGACTGTGGTTTTGACCTAATTATGATGCTTGTTTATTGGCTTTTCATTAACGTATCATCTAGAAAAGTAGGCTTATAATAATTCTCTACTCACATAAAAAACAATAAAATTTTTTTATACCACTTAGTTAAGATTCACTTATATAAGTGTAAGTCATACATAAATTATTAGTTCTTAATTTTACATATTCAGTAGTTAAAATAATAGTATTATATTTAATAATATATATCAACTATTAAATTTAAAAGGTAACTACTTATAATTGCTTTAAATAGAAGATAAAAATTCGAAATATTATTTGATCTCAAAAACCAAATGAGAAAATTAACACCTAGCACCATACCAAACATTTTACCAACCGGCCTGAATGTTTTTCTTGCAATGCACGTGGTATGTGTAACAAAAGCAAGGTGTAACTGATGAAAAGCTTGTGGAAGGCTCAAAAAAGGGAACTGAAAAGGAGAAATTCAGACTACCATATGGCTTTTCATTTCTCTAACTTTATTGGCTCTTAGTTTGCTACGCATTTTAGGAGAAATCCAGAGACTTTGCATTATTTGTATCAACTGTTACAATGTACTACAATGGATCAATGATTAGGCAAATAATTTCTCATTACATTAAGTATAATGAAAGATTATAGTATCTTTTGCTGCAAGATGATCAAGAATTGCACTGAACATTTGAACGTCAGATTGTGAGTTGAATCACCTTTTCTGCCATTGAAGTATAAGAGAAACTCCTCAGTGAAAAGTGAAGTTTTCATCACCAACACAAAACAGAACATCTTTGATATGTAGTGCTCATGCCTGTATGAAACATAATTTAATAACAACTGTATTTCTTCGTTGTTTCTCAATAAGAAGTACAAATACATATTCTGCAACAATCTTTGGTTCTCAGGGCATTTTTTCATGCCCATTAGCATTACATCTTACATGCATAATATAATCATGGTGAAAATACAATACTGTCAAAATCCAAGCACTTTCAAATCAAAGAGTTCTAAGCAAACCAGGTATACATGGAAGAAAAATTTAACCGTCATGAATGATTGCAGTCCTTAGCCCAAGCCTTTTATGTATGGATCATCTTGGTATTTAGAATATAATGGAAGATCAAGTGCTTTCTCTGTGATTCTTCTCTCTTCATGAATCTTTGCTATCAAACTCTCAAGAGTCGGGAAATTAGTCTGTTATACGAATGAGAAGACTCATTTAGAAAGAGTGCTTGTATGCGGTGTGTAGGAGAAAGGAAAACAAGGGTAAATTGGTACCTCAGGTCCTAAATAGCCAACTATAACAAGACGCAAATCCTCACCATAGAAATTCTCATTAAATTCGTGAAGCAACCATGGCTCCTGCAAACGTAGATTGAATTTAGGGTAGAAATAAGACTTGCACAAGCTACCATCTAATTAAATCAATGTTACACTCACTATCGACTTTTCGGCATTGTTGAAAAATAGGTTCCAACCAATGTTCATGACCATTTTGTATACAACACGTCTTGATAATCCAGCCCAACCAAAAAATATCCCAGAAGGATGTTCTGAAAGGAGCTTTGAATGACCTTGAGTAGATAGATTAGCTGCAAATAGATAATGAAATTAATTGTTAATAAAATTGATGACAGAATTATCGGCTATATGAGCAAACAAAAAAAAAATGATAACAAATATAACGACAAGATTTTTGTAGTTTTATTAAGCCAAAATCATTAAGGTGCACGACAAGTTTGCACTAGCAATCTCAGGTGGATTGATTATGTGCAGTAAAATTCTTGACCCATGTTAAGATTTAAGTCTTCATAAAACAGATGTAATATTTTCTCTTTTTCTCCAAATTTTTCCTTGTCCGAAAGAAAAAAAGGGTTCTGACAGGTTTTGTATCATGGCCTTGTTCCAGATACATTCATTATTCAAAACTCAATATTAAGAACAATTCTAGACTAATTATTCATAATTTTCATCACAAACCAGTAGGGATGCCAAGTAGTCTTTTGCCACGACCAAATCCCTTAAGGACAGGACCCCCTATATACCAAGGTTCTATTGGTAATGTACCCTCTATCCCTGCACCCACAAAAACAATGTTTTTGACCAAGATCATTTCAAGGATACATCTGAGAAACAGAATTAAAGCATGATACAGCATTCCAAGGTTTACAATGGAGTTAGGCCCCACTAATCAGGCCGCAAATCAAGCAGAGAGTCAATAACTTCATCCGCTGCCGTAAAAAGATGACTTTGTCTTGGAACAGATGGCACAGCTACGACCTTCGTTCCAGCAGCCTTACTAGCCATAACACCAGTCTTGATATAGCCGAAGCATTAGCATCAAAGATTAAAACTAGGCTCCATACACTGTGTATTGAAACAAAATAAATAGTCAGTACAAACCTAATAACAACCTTAAATTGAAGTTTTTAGGTAATCTTTGCAATAAAATAATAGGTTATAATCATATACATACAATGGAATTGAGAGTAGAGCATGAAGTAACAAAAATTAAACTTACTTACACAGAATCTACAATGACCAGGCAGCTGAAAAGTTCCATATTCAGCCTTTTAGCCGCTTCCAGAATCCTTAAATATGACAAGAAAAGAGAATGCCAGAATTTGAGATAACCCCACTGATAAAACTAGAATCTCAGATTTTTCATGTTTAGACAAACAATATTGCATGGATGTTATGATTCCTGGACTTACGTACATTTCAAGAGATGGCTTCCCCGCGGTCAATTCATCACCACCAATGATGACAGAGAAGTATTCCTTCCACCCTAACATGGGGCAACCATTTAGAAATAACTGAAATAAAATCTTAGAAAGTCAGTAAAAGTTGCTAAGAAATCTTACCTTCGTGATATGACAGTTTGTATTCTATTTGCTTGCCTTAAGGGAGTAGTTTGATGCCAAAACCATGGGCACACCATGATCACTCAAATGTTTAAGCAATCGATCCAAACCTGGAAAGGCTTTAATGTTGCAAATTATACACCAGAAATCAAAAGCAAGAATTTAAAAAACTTTTACGAGAACTAATCAATTCAACATCTAAGATCAAGAATATAGAAAGGATGATCTTTTCTATTTCCAAGGGATTCAGACCTTTGGATTCCACAATTTCACAATCCCATCAATTTACTGCAGTTTATGTACTTACAGAGCAGAGAATATGGGAGTGATTTCAGTCAATAATTCATCATTTCGACCAGGAAGCCCATAATCTTCCACAATAACAGCTGCAGCTTCAAAAGCTGTCTTGCCCACAATTTTTTGAGCTTCTCTTCCGTCCCATTTTTTCCCATACTTACCCAAGAAATTCTTCAACACATCACTCAGTATACCATCGGCCGTAAACTTGAAAATAAATTACGACTTAAGAAACAGCGCCAAAATGAAAGGAAGGAAAAACAAAAAAAAGAAAAAAAAAAAAAAGAGGGGCCAATAGCCGCAGAATAGATAACTCCAGTGAAGAAAAGGAAGAAAAGCCGACCTGTGTTAAGAAGTGTACCGTCCAAATCGAAGATAACGCAGGATACTAATTTCCCGGTGATTCGGCCATCCGAACTCAGATTCTCAGAGGTACGCTTGCAACTTGCATCGAGTAAATATTTGAAGGAACTCAGCTGTCTGCCAGTCTGCTTTTATAGGAACGGGCTGAAATATCGAGATGCGAATTTGTGATTTGCTGTAATATCGACCAGCGAATTTGTGCTTTTCTGTTTGCGTTGATAAATCGGTGTGCTTTCCTGCGAGTGCTTTGCGTTCTGTTTATGGGACCTGAATTACACTGTTTGAGGTGGCCACTTTATTCCAGGTTTTGAATTGTATTGCCATCTTATCAACCTTAAATTATTTCATGCTTGATTTTAATCTTCTACCATGCATTCAATATAGTCTCTAGGCATTGCATGATGTTGGTAAGTCACCCATATCAACCTTTAATTATTTCATGCTTGATTTTAATCTTCTCCCATGCATTCAACAAGTCTAGGCTTTACATGATCTAGGCGAGTCACCCATTTCCCACACAACAAAAACATTGAGTCTTTGTATTATGCAGAAAACTCAACCATCTCATTGAAATCTCTCTACTCGCTTTTTATGTTGATTTAACATCTCCACTATGTGTCGCTCATAAAACATTCAGCAATTAAAAACTTGAATTTCTATATAATAGATCTCAAATTTAAATCATAAGATAAGTGAAGAGAAATTTGAGAATGAAAGAATTATCTCTATTATACTATATATAGGTCCACTACCTAAATGTGACATATTTGTTTTGTTTGGCATGAAATCTCTTCAACTTTGTCAATGGAAGTGGTACAAATAAGCCTGATCTAATTGTAGCTTTTGTGAAAGTGCCATATGAATATATCTTCTAGGGTATGGAGTTCATGTGCTTTATGCCGATTCATTGGATAAGCTTTATCTTGCCTAATCTGGAAAATTAATAATCACAATGAAGTAAAGCTTGAAAATGGAATAAGCAAGTCTTTTTTTTTTTAAAGTTTGTTACTAGTACAAACGGTAAACCATCATCAGAACGCTTCTTTTCATCCAAAATAATAATAATAATAATAATAATCAGGGCATCTTTTGATCCAATCTCAAAACCCAAAACCTCTCTCTGTACAAGTTAGTTAATCCTTAACTAACATTAATTAACCTAATCCTCTGGGGGAAGAGATATCAATCTCTATCAAATTCTCTTCTTCCCCATGGAGATCCAAATCTTTCCTTTCAAGAGCAATTTCTATCAATCCTTCGTTGTCTTCCTCTTTCCACATGAGCCCCATTTTCTCTGGTGAACCCCAATCCCATGACGCCGGAAAATCTGTCTCTGATGAACTGTCTGAGTCAGATTCCGGATAGTCCAATGACAACAACGGGTACCTCTCGTTATTCCACCATAGTTCATTCTTGTTTGCTTCATCTTCCTCTTCTCCTTCATTTTCTTCGTATATCACCTCTAGTGGAGCTCTCACGTCCCACTCAATGAACCTTTCTTCAAAGATCGGATTCAGGTCAAAATCAAAACCCAGTGTGATTTCTGGCTCTGGCTCTCTTTTGCATTCAACCCATTTCGATTCTTCTTGTGGAAAATCTGTTTCTTCTGCTATACTGATTTTTTCTTTCCTTTCTGTCTGAGATTTCTGGATTGCACCCAATCGGAGAAGAGAAATCAAGAGAGTTCCAGTGATGATGAAAACCGGAGAGAGGAGGATTTTGAGGAGCAACCCATTAGGGAAATATAGGAGGATTAGAATGTAGAAAGTGACAATGGAAGAAAACAGAGGATGTGAGGTAATTCTGGACAAAATTATGCTCATGACTTGAACTGAATTTGATAACTCCAGTGGTCAAGTATTCTTATTTTCTTCCATAAAGAAAAAGAAACAGAAACACAATATTTTAAGTCAAGAAAGTGGGAGGAGTAACATTAAAGCAGAGGCAGAGATGTGACTTTGCAGCGGGAAAGAGAAGAAGCAGAGGTTTCAGAGAAATGTGTGTGGGGTTTTATAGGGCTTTTTTGCACCATTCCCCTTCGGGGGTGCGTAAGAGGCAGGCATGATGATGAAATGCATAAGAGGAGTAAGGTAATGGACTGCTGCAATTACCGAGATGGCATTTTTGTCTAGAAATGAACTCGACAAAAGATCACCAAATCAATCTCCATTTTAGCATTCATGGATTAATAACTGTATTAAGCCATAAAACAGACCTAGACCAGATTCAAATCCAATCTCTTTGATATCAGAGTGAGATCAACTTCATTTGTTAGTGTAAATAGTTTTAATAGGCTAAATTTATCACTCTTCATGTTTAAGTATCATTCTGTACCCATGAACAGGCGGTAGGGGTGGCAAAAAGCCACCTAACCCGTTAATTTGACCTGTGAAAATGAATTGGGGTTCGTATATTTAGTCCGTGATATGTTAACAACTTCTAGTATTAACCCGTATGGATCACAGGTAAAGTTGTCAATATTGTATCGACATAGGTATTGATTTTGTAATTAGAATGATAAGTAATGAATATCAAAATTTTTCGTGTACCGTTTTAGATTTATCATTATAAATATATATTTTTATAAACTAAATATCAAAATTTAAAATAATGATAAGAGAAATTAATTTTTAAAATCATAATATTCTTATAAATTGAAAATAAGTTTAAAATAGTCAATTTTACAAAACATCCATAACTTTTTCTTCTTCTTTTTTTAATATTAAGATAATATTAGAAAGTATAACAGTGTTCTGAGTTTAATATTATACAAAACATTAACTTTGAATTGATTAAAAAAATGTAATTTTCGTAGTTGATGGACTAAAAAAATACATTAAAAAGTTAAAGGATGAAAATTATGTAAAATATTAAAGTGGAGGACTAAAAATGCAATTTACCTTTTTAAAATTTGAATTCATTTGTGCAGACCATTTTCGGTGTACTAGAGATTTGACCGAAACAAAATTGAATCTTGTACCGTTTCAATTTAAAAAAAAACCGATATGTACTTACTATATCGACCGGTATGATATGAAATTAACAACAGTGATCGCAAGTCAAATATGAGTCAATATATGTGAGTTGACGAGTTAACTCATTTGTTTTCTTCTTCTTTTTTTTTAAGAAAAAGATATTTTACTTATTATTTTTAATTAATTTTTCTATTAGTTAATCTTTCATTGATTCAAACTCTCCAACCTCTTCTCCATTATTTATATG